GTCAGAAGCAAAAAAAAAAAAAAAAAAAAAAAAAAGAATAACGTGGCTGGCATCCTATAGAGGGGAGAATTTAGACACAAACACAAACATGCACAGAAGAAAGATATTTAGGTAAAGATGGAGGATTGGAAAGATGCACTTACAAGCAAAGGAAAGCTAAATGCTGTGGGCAAACTACCTGAAGCTAGGAATGGAAAGGATTCTTTCCTCACAGACGTCACAAGAAGTACGGTCCTGCCAATACGTCAGCCTCAGACTTCAACCCCTAGAACTACAAGTCAATAGACTTCCATCAGGTTAAACTACCGATTGTGGTACTTTGTTTCAGCAGCCATAGCAAACTCATAGGTTCTAGGAATCACCATTCCTGCAACAAAGAGGACAGCCAGCACAGAGTGATGAAAAGCTGAGCTGGCTGAGCCACACAACCCCAGTTAACTCATCTTTAACAGGAGGACATCAGTGGGGTCTATTCGTGCACAGGATAACAGTTAACTCCAGCATGGGAGTACAGTCAGGAGCTGTTCTGAGAGACAGAGATATAACTGGAGGCACTGGGGTCCATATCAGACAGGATGCAAGAAACAACAGAGAAAGAATGAAGATCTGCAACAGGACAGAAGAGTGAGGAGGGAGAGGATGACATGGCCGTAAGAAATACTGAGGAAGTGAACTCAAAGGATACAGTGCCTGATGAATATGGGGAATGAGTTTCCACAGCACTAACAAATCTTTAATTACGAAAACTCAGGAAACAGAGAGGAGCATGGCTTCAGCTTCAGGAAGTCACTGTGTCTGATCTGCTATCCATAGCCCCAGAACACTACTTGCATTTACTTTCTAAGAAAAAAATGAACATGATCACTGTGTAGGGGTTCCTTGAAAGGCTAGAAGCTTCCTTTGACTGCAGCCAATACCTGTGTGGCCCAGAAATTTAGTTCAATAGATTTGCTGATTTCCTTTCCACCTATAAGCAATCACATGCTGTTTCGTTGTGATCAAGAACCAGATCATCCTAGTTCTGCTGTTTACTTGATACCACCTGAAAGGGTCAGATCTGCATGTGTTTCAACTTATTTGAAAATAAGGATAAGAACAGCACCTACCCTCAGAAATGTTGTAAGGACTGAATACTACAATGTCGGAAAAGGATTTAGCACAGTACAACACAATTTCAACTAAGATCATCAACGGTTATTTCACATTCTCTCTCTGTATAATCTAGGCCAGTAGCTCAAACTGTCCTGTGTAGCAGAACCTCCTGGAGATTGCCAAGTTTTAACTGTTGCTAATCAGTCTCTATCTTAAGAATTTTACATGAACCAACTCAGCCAATCCCCACAGCATCTTTACAAGGTAAGTGGTACTATTAATCCCATTTTGTGAAAGAGAAAAGTAAGGGTCAGAGAAATGACTTACCCAAGAATACACAGCTAGTAAATGACAAGCTGGGTTTTAAAATCAGGCAGTGTTCTTTTTTTTTTTTTTTAATGGTACCGAGGATTGAACTCAGGTCCTTGCACTTGCAAGGTAGGTTGCGGAACCATTGAGCTAAATCCCGGGCCCTCAGGCAAGAATGCTATGGATTCTTAAAGTGAAAATTCCCTGAGACACTAACATCACAAAATAATGCCAGGAAACAGAATGACAAACCTTTGCAGTTATCTTTCAAAAAACAATGAAGAGCTTTGCAAGAGCAAGGACCAGAGTTCAATTCCCGGTACCAAAAAAAAACAATGAAGAGGACAGAGGGGGAGAGGGAGGAGGTAAACCAAGTCAGATGAATAAAGCCATCCAGCTAAGTCTAGCTTAGTTCCCCTGAACCTCACAGATGAGTGAGAAATAAATGTCTGTTATGTGTGAAGTTGTGTGGCTGTCACTCAGCAAAAGCTAACAGACATAGTACATGATCCGCTACACTTTCTGGGAGATCAAAATGGATAAGTAAAAACTCACCCCTAACAGTCAGATGGGCCAAGGAGAATAAATACCAAGCCATTATAGAACAATATTGATTAATATGCACACAAAGATTGTTAGAACTATACTGTCATTTTTGTCTAGAAATTCCAGTAAAAATAAATCAAAGTAATCTAAAGGCTAATTCTGTGTGACAACATTTGAATGCTGCCCTGAGCACAGGAAATGACTCTTCAGTGAACTGACTAAAAGGCTGACCTTAGCCAGGCATGGTGGCACACTTTTGCAATCGAGCACTCTGGGAGGCTGAGTCAGGAGGATCACAAGTCCAAGCACCTAGCCTGGAAAACCTAACAAAACTGCCTCAAAAATAAAAAAGGGTGGGGAGGGAGGAAAAAAAAAAACATAAAGAACAGGAATGTAACTCAGTGCAAAGGCCCTAGGTTTAATCCTCCAAACTGGGGGGTGGGGGAGAATAAGCTTTAACACCTTTGAGTCTGTTACGGCTGTGTCCAGAGGTCCCGCAAAGCCTCAAGGAGGCATCATCTTTGACAGAGGCTGCATGTGTCCAGGAGATGTTGCCAAAGCCTTTGCAGCTGGAGCTGACTTTGTAATGCCAGGAGGGATGCTCTTGGGCCACACTGAGGGTACAGGGGAAGGGATCCAGAGGAACAGACAGAAGCTGACCCTCTTCTAGGGGATGAGCTCAGAAACGGCCATAAAGAAACACGCAGGAGGAGTGGCTGAGTACAGAGCCTGGGAGGGCAAGACTGGCAGTGCTTTACAAAGGTGATGTGGAACACACGATACTGGACATTCTCTGGGGACTGAGGTCTGCCTGCACCTACGTGGGGGCTGCCGAGCTCAAGGAGCTCAGCAGAAGAGCAACGCTCATCAGGGTGGCCCAGCAGCACAACTCTGTTCAGTTAACCGTGGGATGAAGCTGGAGCTGGAGCCACCGTCTCGCACACCCGCCTCGAACACCCGCCTCACACACCCGCTTTTCCCATCTCCCTCCTGTGCATCGTGCCAGAGCTTCTGGCCGCTCCGGAATGGTGGGATGCTGCGTCTTTTCTCCCCTTCCACTGCCTGGAGGCTTTGGAGCTCCCTAGTGCCTTCTTGAGGCCCCAAAGCAGGGCCCTCATTGGGCCAGGGGCCCAGGACTCAGCCTCATCATTGACTTGCACCTCCCCACCCCTTTTTTTAAGAAAATGGTTTTACTTTAATATAATGCTATTATCTTGAAAAAAGGGTGGGGCTATTTGCGTGGCTGAATAAGGAGCTGTGATTGATTCATGGTACAATGCTAGAACCAAGGGCATTAGAATTAAAGGTGTGAAAGCTACCTACCCTGAGTAGTCTGGATAAGATAAAAAAGGGCAGAGAGGTGCTTTCAAGGGCTCTTGTTACTTTTGCTGTCTTTCACCACCACCATCACGCACTGCGGCCCCTCTGTCACCCTGTCTTGGAGCCAGCTGATTATGAACTACAAAAAAACCTCTACAAACTGTAAGCCAAATAAACCTTCTCCCCTTTAACCTTGGGTGCCCAGTATTTTGTCTCGGCAATGAGAGAAAAGTAACTAAGACAGGGTCCCATGCAGGAAAATCAGTAACTGCTTCCTCAGACGCTCTTGCTACATCCTGACAAGGTGTCACAGAGGATGGGGACTTTCACCTGTAACTCTGAACAAGACCACCGCTACACAGGAGGTTGGCTCTACAATGTTCAATGTTCAGATTTTAAAATGGAGGTCATAAGGAATTCAAGGAATTGCCAAATGAGGCAGCTGGGAGTGGAATCCAGGGACCACACCTCCAGCACAGGAAAAGATACAGAGATTCCAAGGATCACTGGAATCTTGAAATTACAGATAAGTCTACATGACTCAAAAGCCTTGCATATATTTATAAATCAGAACTGAGACACAAAACACACTTTACTTTAAAAAAAGTGGTCATTTTCTTTCAGATTCTTATGGGTTTTTTGCTTAAGAAAAATATCCTTTATTAAATCTAGGTAGATCACAAACTTATTCAAGCTCCCAGGCTTGGGTCTAAATCAGGGGCTCTATGTGGGCTGAAAAATCAAAGATCTGCAACAATTCCACACCATTTGTTACCGTGCTGTTTCTGTGAAGTCCACCTTTTTAGTAGCACATGTTTGTAGTGCATATTGACTGCACTCACTGTGAAGAGTAGGTATATCGACATCATGTGTATTAGTTATTTTTGTTCCATCTCAAGATTCTCTCTCCATTCACCAAAGATCTATTTCCCTGTTTCCTATTATCTATCTTTTCTTTAGCTCTTTAAATTATTATGCCTTGGCTTCTCCTATGAGAGATGTTAACCGGTATTTAAGAGTCTGGTTTATTTCACTTAAAATTATTGTCTCAGGATGCCTCCATTTTCCTATGAATGGCTCTAGTTTATCCTTCTTTAGAGCAGAGTAGTACTTCACTGTGTATAAATAGCACATCTTTATCCATTCATCTGTTGATGACTATATAGACTGCTTCCAAGATTTAGCTATTATGAACTGGGCTGCTATAACAATGAGTATGCGCATATCACTGTGGTATGTCTTTCACTCTTCCAAGAAAATACCTAAAAAGGAAACAGCTGGGTCAAATGATATGTCTGGTTTTAGTTTTTTGAGGACTCTCCATACTAATTTCCCACTGACAATGTGCAAGGGTTCTATTTTCCCTGCAGCTTCACCAGCACCTGTTGTTTGATGCTTGATGATGGCCATTGTTTCCGGAGCCAGACAGAATCTCAAGTGTTGTGTTACATTTGCATTTCTCGGATGGCCAGAGATACTGAACATTTCTTCATGTATTTATTGGCCATTCATACTTCTTCTGAGAAGTGTCTATTCATTTCAGTTGCCCATCTTTGATTGGCTCTTTCTAGGTTTTATGAGCTCTTTATACATTCTAGATATCAGTCCTCTGTCCAAAGAGAAGCAAGTAAAATTTTTTTCCTATTCTGTAGGTTGTCTCTTCATGCTGCTGGTTGTTTCCTTTGCTGTGCAGAAGCACATAAATTTGATATAATCCCATCTGTCAACTCTTGATGTTATTTCTTGTGCAATAGTAGTTCTGTTTAGAAAGTACTTACCTATGCCTGTGTCCTCAAGGATTTACCTATTTTATCTTCCACGAAGTCCTCTTGCTATGGTTATATACACCAGTGCCACAACAGTGGGGAGAAGCATCATGTCTGAATGAAACCACAACTACAATGGGGTGAGCTAAAGTCAGACTCTCCCCACGATGTAATCTTTCATGCCCACTGGGACACTCTGCTCCAGTCCAAACTGCATCATGATCCACTCAATAGAATTTATATGCTGCTCTGGTTATAACAAAATCACCATGAGAAACCATTTATATGGCATCTACTATTACCTGAACAGACTAAGGAAGGGCTCTAAACCCAGGAGTAAAAAGAGAAAGGGTAACACGTACATTCTGCCTTTTCCTTGGGTTACTCCTATAGCTGGATTACAAGAGGGAGGGTGGGTGAAAAGAGGTCCGTTAAGTTGTGATCACTATGGTACAGCAAAGCTATAGACCCCTTCTGGACTCCCGCTTCACTTCTTCCACCTGAAGACCAAACAGCACAATCTCAGGTGCCACCGGAAGGGACTACATGTTGCTGACCCTCCACCTCCATCACTGAGCTTGTACGGAAACAGCTGCCAGGGTGATTCCAGAAGAGCCAGACTGACACAGCACCATCCTCGGCGGAAGACTTAACACATCATCAACCCTGCAGGGTGCTGTGTAGTCTGCTGGGAGGCTGAAAGGAAAATGCGTCACCAAACCCTGCCCGTCTACTTACCGGCTCCACGAACTCAAACATCTTCCTCTCCTGCACTTCCTGCACCTTGAACACGTACTCCAGGGACACTTCGTAGAAGTGCTGCCGGACCAGGTCTACCTGGCTGTCTGCCTACAAAGAAGACAGGATTTAAGAGGAAAATCTGGTCATTATCCAACAAGAACACCGAGAAAGCAGAAGAAAAAAAAAAATCTCTGGAGACAATTTTTACAAGCAAATCAAATAGCATGCATGACACAGAAATAAGATTATAATGATTAGCTCCACACTAATTTTATGCCAGGCACCATGTCCATAGCCATATATATGACTTTGTTTAATCCTCGTTAATTTTAATTATATAGTCCTCATTATATTCCTATAAAGGAAATGATTATCTTTACCTCTGATTTACAGGAGGAAAACGAGGTACACAAACATTAAGAAACTTGACTGAGGTCATGCAACTATGAGAGCAGAGCTGGAATTTCTTTCCAGGTATATCTGCTCCCGAGACCCTTGACTACTCTTTTAAGAGCACTGCTGCCTCACCACACCTTCACTCCATGGCACACAAATTTTGAGAGTAGAAAAAAGCAAGCCCAGAAAAAAGCAGCACATGCCTGTAAATCCCAGCTATTTGGGAAGCTGAGGCAGGAGGATCAAGATTTCAAGGTCAGCCTGGGGTAACTTAAGTAAAACCTTGTCTCAAACAAACATAGCGAGCTGGCTCAGCTCAGCCCATCCTCCTCATGAGTAAGACGGCTGTTAGAGGACAGGGGCCCCAAAACAGGACATTTTCATATGAGTGCCAAGTACTTTGCGAATGACATGGACAAAGGACCAGTTCATCCAAAGAGAGTAATCACACTGCGCCCTCAGAACCCCACTTTTCCCTCTATGCAGGTGGCGTCCAGGACAGGCCCCAAGTGGGTACAGTCAAACCACAGATCTGTGATCTACTATCCGGGCTGAAACTGGGTGCGACTTCATGAGGATACTCTGCTAGCGATGCCCAGCCCTCACTCACAGCTTTCTGTCTGTCCACAACATGGCTGTGTCTACAGGTTCTTTCAAAACAGTTTCACTGAGTGCATATTTCAACAACAAAGCACTAAAGTGAATACGTTGTTTGTTTGTTTGGTACCAGTGATCGAACTCAGATCCAGCTTGACATTCACAAGCGGTGGCACCATTGAGCTAAATTCCTGGCCCTGTTTGTTTGTTTGTTTGTTTGTAAATGAATTATGCTGCTAGTCAGAAATGAAACACTGTTTTCCTTAGAAGTTAGTCACAACCAGTTCTATTATATACTCTGCTGAAAAAAAAAAAGCTCCCCAAAGAATATCTCTTATTGTTCCTTTGTCAAGATTCCCGCAGGAGAAACTTGAGACAGACCCTTCCATCCTCCCACATGTTATGCTATCGTGACACTGTAAGAACTGAGTAAATCATTCATTCTTTCAACTATCACAAGCAAAAAGAAACTTCCTCCATAATGCTTACAGCACAATAAAGAAAAAAACTAAGGGAAAACCCAGTCAAATTTATGTAAATAATAAGAAAATTATAAGCTCTGGTAAAATACAAGACACTGAAACAGCCCCAAAGTGTGTGTTCAAGTCTCTCACACTACCAACTTCCCCCCAGGCAAATGACACATTCACATAAGGAAGACGGACTGCTGAGTAACTGCTGAGTAACACAGAAAGCCGAAGCTGAAGGCACTTCCTAAAGTTCTAACTGGAGGCAAGGCTTCAGAAGGCCTGAACCCCACTTTGTCATGTCCAGCGGCTTAGACACTAGGTTGGCACATCTTCCAGCCGGGCTCCTGTCAGCCATGTCCCATATGTTCCAGCAGCCTACGATGTCCCTGGGGCGCGACTCCCACACCCTTACCCCAGTGAATATATCTTCCTCGGACCATCCCACACACCTCACGCCTTCCCCAAGGGCTTGCTCACTGAGGCCAACTGTTGGGTGAGGGAGGGGACCATTCTGAAAATCCTCAGTCTCTTGCAGCATAGGCAAGAAGACAGGGCCACAAGGAAGTTCCAGTGGAGAACAAGGAACCAACTCCAGCATAGCCAGCGCGCTGACCTAGGTGTGGGCTCCAGTCCCAGGGTCTTCCAGCTGGGGTGGCCAGTTCCAGTCCCCGATCCTGTCTGGGGATGGAGATAACAAGACTCGCCCTTGCTCTGGGTGCAGCTAGTTCAGAGAAAATGGGCTAAAGGGCGTGAATAACTGGAGACGGGCATTGGCGACTACTGATACCACACACGTCAGCACCAGTGCGCTGCAGTCCCGCTCCTGCCCTAAACCAGCACACTTTCCCGGAGCCACGAGGCTCCTGATTGGCCTCCTCACCTCACTGTCCCAAACTCCACCCAGTAGCCAGTTTGCCCTCTTCGAATCTAAATCAGTCTCTCAGCCCCTTCAAGGCCTCCGCAGCCCCCACTGTGGTGGGCGAAGCCCTCTGCTGTCTGCCCAGCCCACCAGCCTAACTGGCCCTCACCATGCTTGGCATTCTGGTCTCGTCCTACTAATTCTCCAAACCTCTTTCTGGCCTAGAACCTTTGACTCGGCATTCCTTCTGCCTGAAAACCTCTACCTCTAAATAAATGTACTTTCTTTTAACTTCAGCATATAAAAAACACTTCTTACAATGACACTGTGAATACATATTTCTCCTTAGTACAGTGCACTTTCATATTTTATCCAGCCTACTCTGGCTTATGATGCATAATTTTGATTTTGATCACGCACCCACAGCTTGAAGAGGACTCATGTCTTTCCTCCTAGGCTCACATTGGGCTTTTCTGAGAAGCATTCATTAAGTACCTTCTCTCCCTATTTATTTCCTTATCGCTGTGTGGAATTCTTATTTACTCCTTTCTTTTCTTTTGTTCTGACTCCTATAAACACAGTCAGTGAGAACACATACCTTTTATAATTTTTTCACCTTTCTATCTCAGTGCCCAGAAAAATACCAGGATGGTAGGAAATGTTCAGCAGAAGAAACAGATTGCTCTCCATGTGGCTATCAGTCAGAGTCAAAGAAATGTCCCTGCAGTGACCCAGCACTAAGAAGAAATACAGAACTCAATGTATTTTTAAAGGAAAACAAAAGCAAAATCCCAACTGAAGTAGGACTCCCTTGCCAGCATCCCTGCTTACTGTGGGCCACAGAAAGCACCACATCCTTAGACTCTCTAAGCTGGAATCAGAAGCCAGGATTCTAACTTGCTTGCCAGACTACTTCCTACAATTTGGATATGGTCTGAGTGTGTCCCCAAAGGTCGTGAGATGGGGGCTTGGACTTCCGTGTGACAGCATTTGAAGGCGGTGTGGAACCCTTACAAGATGTAGCCCTGTGGCAGGTCACTGGGGGCACTGCCTTTGGAAAGGAGGCGGTTGCTGGAGGCCTTAGTGAATTCTCGAGAAACCTATTTTAGAACAAAACTAGCCCCTCACTGCTCCTTCCAGCTTCCTGTCTCACCGTGGGCGGCACTTGCCACTGTGATGCCATCCCACTTGATGTTCTGTAGGGGGAGGAGTGACTCGCTGGAGTGCGGCTAGCTGTTGGACATTTCAGCCTCCAAAACTGTAAGCCAAGCAAAGCTCTTTTCTTTATAAAGCACTCAGCCTCAAGCATTTTGTTATAGTGACAGAAAACCAATACCCCAACTCGCAACAGTTTTTCTACCTGTTACTTAAACCATATATTTTCCAGCTTGAGCAGACCCACTGATCCTTCTGTGTTTCTCCAAAACTATAAGGTCCGTGACTGGATCCTTCTCTTCACTCCCCATAAAACACTCAGAACCTGACCAGACTTTCACAGAAGTGTCTGATGAGCACTGGTAGAATGAAGCAATACTGCTTTTTATTAGTAAACATTTGCAGTACATAATGATTACATTGCTCGTGGGGAGTCGGTGCATGTATGTAACACATCTTAATTCCTTTCTCATCCCCTTCCCCTACAAATTACTGGTTTTGATACAAACTTCTCAGCAACTACAGATTATTTTTAACCCACTAGGTGGCAGTGTAATCCCACACTGCTGCCCCATAATTTCTGCCTCCAAAGAGTGGGCGATGGACTCAAACTGAAAAGCATTCAATTCAGAGTCCTTCAACCAGGGGACACTTCTAGATAATCAAAGGTAGTGGATGCTACCAAAGATATACCAGGTGTTTAATAATAGCCCTAAGAGTTGATTTCTAAAATAAATGCGAAGAACATCATTACTAAATAGCTGGAACCGCTGAAGCAAATCCCTGCACCTCTGCTAGGAACTCAGAGCCTTCAAATGTATTCAAGGGAGTTGTGCCGGATGATCACCAAGGTCCCTCCGTCCACTTCTATTTGCATGACTGAAAGGGAGCAGAGCCTTAAGACCTATCCTGAAAGAAGAATTTGGAAGGGAGAAGGGCTCCACAGCTAGATGCCAAGGTTAGCTAGCTACAGGCAAGCTATTCACGGCGCCGGGCCTCTGTCTCCTCAGATGTAAAACTGAGGTATTACCAACATTCATACTTCATGGGATATCTGTGAGGATTCAAGAAGATTCCGTGGAAAGTGCTTAACACAGTACATCAGGCACAAATGCACGTTCAGTAAATGTTTGCTACTGTTGTTGTTCGTAGTAGTCATGCTGTTGCTGTTTCTGGACATTGCTTGCCTGTAAGTTAGCACAGGAAAACATGAATGGCAATGTTTGACAGCTGGACCTGAACAAACCAGAACTTGCTGAAAAGACTCTGGCCCAATCCTTGCCCTCCAAGGACTTAGAAAGCATGAGTGGGTAAAAGGCAGGAACACAAAGGGCTGTAACAAAAGGGCATAGTAAAAACTTTCACTGAGATACACAATGGCAAAGTCTACAACAGTGCCTCCCAACATGTGGACAGGGATAAACAGAAGCAAGCCAGTCACAGGGATGATATCCGTATTTACTCAGTAGCTATGGTTTGCCTTCTCATTCATGAATTATTCAGAATGGATATTTTGACAACTATTTTACACATAAAGGAAGGAAAGCTCAGAGAGCCCAAGGAACTTGCTCCAGATCACACAGTGACTACAAGACAGGCAGGCCTTGAAGAAGGTACCCCCTTTGGTAGCCCAGGGTGCAGGTCCTTACACTGTGATAACTCAGAGGGAGATGGCATTGGAAAGATGGTAGAGAAAACTAACTGGATTCATCCCGAGTCAGTACTACCCAGGCAGGCATGGAAAGAATGGACCTGCAGGAGAAGCACCCTTACCAGGGGGACCACCATGCCTACAGGATAACTGTGGGCTTCCAGTATCAGCAGGTGGAAGTTTGTGCAAGAACTTCCACCCACCTGCTCCGCACTAACGCAGCAATGGTGCGCAGTCATCCTAACCATGGATTATAACCTAGAAGAAGCTTCACAGCCACAAGAGGTGGTTGCTGTCCAGGGCAGCCAGAGAGTTTCCTAAAATATGAGTTCCCAAGCCCTAAATGCCATCTAATGTTAGAAGAATGAGAAGCAAAAAGTGAGAGTATTGGGACAGATCCTAAATGGAATTACAGAATTATCAGGTGCAATCTACCTGCCCTTGGGCAGCATCTAGTACCTGTGTCCCTGTGTTGACTTGGGGTCTGTATCATTACTCAAAGACTGGATTTTTGGTACTTTTTGTTTTGTGTGCTGGGGATGGAATCTAGGACCTTGCGGAGGTGAAGAACACACTGTACCACTGAGCTACATCCCCAGCACCAAAGAATTTGTCCAAATACCTATTTCAAAGCAAGTATTTGTGAGAGCACTACATTCTCCTCTGAAGGTGTGTATGAAATCGCGGTTGGGAGTGAAACAGGCTCCACGTCTCCTGAGGTATCTTCATCCATCATCTTTTCACTTGCTGTAGGTATGGGCATGACATGGGCTCAAAAGGAATTGGGACTTGAAAATGAGGGGTAGCAGGAAATCTAACTCTTCTCTTCAGAGGCATACCATGAGAAAAGGTAAGCAAACTGTAGAGAATAAGATGACACTCCGGAGACCAAATTGAGGGCTCCACTAGGAAACTGCCCTGTCTCCCAGAAATGAAACTTCCTGACCATGCAAATCTCCACAGACTAAGTAAAACAGTAACAGCTCTATGGCTGCAAATCTGACTTCTCTTTCCAAGAGAACTACTTTTTTAAAAGACCCCATCCAAATCCCAAGAAACCACGAACAGGCTGATGACTATTTTCTTTAAGCAAGGCTACCAAATGCCCAAAAACAAAAACAAACAAAAAACACCTCCCCACCCTCAATATAGATATAGATATAGATATAGATATAGATATAGATATAGATAGATAGATACATAGATAGATAGATAGATAGATAATGAATGACAGTAAAACACCACTGGAACAAAAAAAGGACAAGACAGGAAACAACTAATGTCAGGTACTGGATTGAAATAATATTTAAAAATTAACATTAAGGAAGTTGAAAAAAGTGCTTCAGATGCTAACAATGTAAGTCACTGACATAGGCAGGAAGTCAGGGGTTAAAGAAACAGAATACAGCATTAAGGCCAAGGGTAAAAGAAACAGGAAGACAGCTCTCAGCTAGCAGTGAAGAGTCCCAGTCTAGCAAGGAGGGCTCCCCAACCCGAAGGCAGTCATCTTGGCCAGCAGTATGATTCAGAGCCACAAAGGTGGGTGGGATGGGAGGCTACAGAGGCAGTACAGCCATCAGGAAGTGGAGGAGGCATCCGGAGCCTCATTTCTGAGGTCTCTGGCAAAGGCCTAAGATTTTCTGGCAAAGAACCACCACAGAACTGTATAAAAATTACGTATTTTGTTCAGAATATATGTCAAGTTTCTTACCTCCTGAAGCTGAGATTCCTTCTTTTTAGAAGACAAATTCAAGTGTTTTTCTAAGATGCCACAATACTTTTCTGTCTCTTTGTCATACTTCTTTCTGGCTTCCTGGCCAAAAAAAAAACAGGGAGAGAAATGAAGAGTTAACAGGCTGCAGGAATAAGCAGTTCAGTCTCTCCATAGCTTTCTGCTCCCCTTTACAGACTCACTGTTCCCTCTGCACAGAAACGCAGCAGAATCTGCACCTTATGCCCATTACGCTGTGTGATTACCATGGCACGGCCCCGCAGATCAGGGAATCTATCTGGCACAGAGGCACTAGTACAATCCCAGAAACAAGGCAGCGCCAGTATTTAATACGGGCAAAGCCAGAACTGTACCTTCTAAGAACTTCAATTATGGGGACTGCAGATGTAGCCCAGTGGTAGAGTGCCGGCTTCGCAAGAATGAGACACAGGTCTGATCACCAGGATCACAAAGGAATAAAGGAGGAAAAAAACTTCAATTGTGAGACCCAAATTCCTAGCTTCTAATCCACACAGATGTCAAGCCAGAGAAAACGAGGTTATGGGGGCTACTTACGAAGCTAATGTCTCCGACAGCCTCAGTGGGACAAGTCTAACCTAAGGCTAGAGCCAGGCCTAACAGCATTCAAAGAGAACTTCATGTAGAGACCCAGCTACCACTCGAGGCCACATATAGGTCACTATGCTGAAGAAAAGTTGAAAACATGGTGAGATGGTACCTTCGCAAATTGACAACTCCATTGAGAACAGCAAAACTAAACAAAACCAGTAGAAACAACATCGCTGCCCAAGAATAGGGTTTGTGATGATTAAAGCACGGGTCATCCAATATATCTAATTAGTCAGATGGAAAATTGTGCAGTGGATCATGATATAATGCAAACTATAATAACACGACATAACTTGGAACAGCCTATGCAGGGTATCTACCTATGGACAAAGATTAGATGGGTGTAAACTTCAATGGAAATATTTCAGTTAAGGAAAAAAAACAATCAAAAATTGTTTCTTCCCTTTGGGAAATTTTTATTAGACTAAATTATTGCCTTCAAAATGAAAAACAATTATAATAATACACCTATTAATCCCTCATCAAGTGCTTGAGTCACTGAGGTTCTATTTTTATCCCCTATTTTACAGATCAAAAAATTTGGACCCAGGGAAGGTAACTTATAAAATGTCACAGAAAGCAACAGAACTGAGGTTTGGGCTCAGGGCATCTGCCTCCAAAGCCCACATTTTCCACCACACTTAAGGCACCGCCATAGGCAGTCTTTTCCTCTCACATTCCAGTAGGGGCTGCAAGCAAGGCAGGTGGGTGAAAGCTGGTACCGGTCTAATAAGCTGGTTCAAATTCACTAACTAGGTGCACCACTCCTGCTTTTGAGTCACCTGGAGCTCACAGGAAATATTTCTGTGCAACTCTAAGACCTATAAGAGCAAAAGAGATTTCAAGCAAGATAAAGAAGCTCAAAGACATCTCTTTATTCATTTAAGAAATTTACAATGAGCACCAATTCTGTTCGGCTCCAGCAGGCAGTAGAAATGTGAGACAGAAACTGTCCCTACTCTCCTGGCGGTAATGTGGTAATGTTCGAGTAGAAAGAGAAACACAGTTAACCAGTAAATAAATAAGCAAGACAGTTTCAGAGTGCTGCAACTGCTACAAAGGAAATAGTGCGGTCACAGAGATCCTTTAGATAGAGCATTCGGGAAAGGCCTCACTGACGAGGCAAGGTGCGAGCTAAAACCTGCTAAACACCCGGAGGGCAAGGTGGAGCCTTCTGCAGCTAGAAGGCTCAGGGGAAGAACACTGAGCCAAGAGCCAGGATTGGAAGCCCTGCCAAGCTCCCACCTTTACCTGGTCAACAGCAAGACTCAGCTGCATAGGGGGAGAATAATCAATCGTTTTGCTTAAACCACTACTCGCACACACTGACAATGAAACATATAGAAGCAAAGGAGAAAAAGCCTAAGGAAACCTTACTCTTTCAAATTTGAGGATGCAGAGAAGCAGCTCTTTTCCTTTATAGAAACCAGAGACTTGAAGCTGGGCTCCAACTCCCATGCATATTGCGTATATCCACTCCTCCCAGCCTTGTCCACAGCCCCGAAACAGAGAACCCTAGGGTCAGGGTCAGCATAGTCCAGCTGGCCAGAGGCAAGAAAAGGCCAGAGAACATGAGTCACTGGCATTCTATGACTTTCTGGCAACTCAAGCCTCCACATTCCGTGTTCAAGAGGACAGCCAGAGTCAGAGAGAGAACGGAAAGTAAAGGAAGAACAGGAAGTGGCTTCTGTACTGAGAAAATAGGACCAAGACCTCTGCAGGCGAAACTGTAAGGTCCAAGTGATGGTCTTGAGATGGGAGGGAGGCTCCTCAGCTACTCAGGACATAAGATGACTCTCACCTTTCAGAGAGGCTTGCTGTGGGGTGGGTAAGTAAATGAAGGACAGAGTCAGTGTCCTGCAGTTTATTCCCAATGCTGTAAAGACCGACGCTACACCAAGAACTATCCCTCCCCAGGACTCCAGTTCTTTATCTATAAGTGGAGGAAGACTGGATGAGGTAACTGCAAGGCTTTCATCCTTCAGCTCAAAGACTGCAGAACAAGATAGGGGTGATAATGACCCCTTCGTCATGGGACAGTTCAGATGACATGAGATAAACCACATATCGTGCTCACACCTGACACATGCAAAGCACCCAACAGCTTTCAGTGGCAGTGAAGAGGATGGTGAGGGCAAGCTCGCCCCCTACACCTGGCCCCTTCCCATCAGGAACACCACTTGCCTTGCAGGCACCACGTTCCATGAAGGCAGACTTTCCAAGCACCTTCCGTGACTTGACTCCACACATGTGTTTGTATCTCTCTAACTCCTTTCTCTCCAGCCACACCACAAGTACAGCAACACGCTGCTTTGTTTGCCACCAAACCTCAGTGCGAAGCCAGTGCTGGACATACAGCAGACTCTCACACATTTTCTTAAGAAATGAACAAGGTTTATCCAATTTAATAACTAGTATCAAATGACAAAATGCCAGCCGCCATCCTCAGGTCCAAACAGCTATATGACAGATACTCGTTTTAAGCACTTTGTACGAGTTCACTCATTTCTTCCTCCTAGTAATTTTGTGAGGTAAGATCTACTGTCATCCACGTGTTCCAGATCAGGAAGCAGGCACGGGAAGGTTCAGGAACCTCCCCAAGTTTATATGGCAGTGGGAGAAGTGACTCTAGCCTCAAGCAGCCTTGCTCTAGGCCATGCTGAACCAACCCTCTCTGATGTCTTCTCTACTGTCACTATGCAGCCCAGCACTTAACACAATCTACTTCCCCACACTCAGAAATAAAAACCCCAGGCAATGATTCTAGAAGCTGCAGGGTCCTGACCCACTCCACACGAGAATGCCCAGGAGCCCCTCCCTGCCAGCCTTCACTCTGTGTGCTGCTCTGCAACAGGTTGTTATAGCAACCAGAGCAGCACCAGGGAGGAGAGGAGGAAGGAAAAGTAATTTTAGCATCACACAGGCAGAGTTCAGGAACCTCCATCAGGCCACCAGCAAAAAACAGCTATGCAGGACTTTCTGGCTCTTAGATATTCTTGACTCTGCACGCCTGAGAGCCTTCTAGGAAGGAGGATTTTTGGTTTGCTGTCTCTTAATTTACATAGTATTATGATATAAGCATATACGTGGTGTGATTGGTAGAGAGGATTGTGGTGGGGGAGAGAAAAGATATGACAAAGGAGGAGGAATGAGAAATGATCCCAAACGTCATCAAAATCACTGTGATGACTGATGACTAATCAAAACACGTAACGACTGATGATTATTACTAATTGAATGAATGAGAGAGTAACGTATGCATGACAGAAAACATGTTTCACTAGGTGACTATTTCACATAAATTATCATATTTTTACACATCCCACCACTCAAACCCCTACTGCTACTGTATTAAACCCAAAGGAGCCCACTCAGACTTCTGCTTCTCGGTGGTGACTGTGATAACTCCCAAAACAACACCAAGGAAGAGGTCAGAGTGAGAGGCCTGCGCCTGGAAGGAGAAGAAACTACTGGAGGGGCAACTCAATAAGCAAGTCTGTTCCGCCTCTGCCTCAGAGCACTCCATCCCCGCCCCGCCGCCCCAGCATCCCAAAGCGTGGGGGGCAGGATGTGCTGGGAAGAGGGGTGCAGAGGCCTGAGGCTGCTCCAGAGAAGCCTCTCCCAGGGCCGTCCCACGGCCTTAGCCCTCAGTAGGCCAATGTGAAGACCTGGACGAAATGTGAGTAGAACAATTCTTGAAATTATACGCTCCTTAATCTCTGATACAGAATCAATGAACGTCAATTTCATTATAACTATAAACTGAAATTGGTGTAAACATGCTGTGAAACTGGAAGAAAAATCTTTGCATAGTCTCTCCTTCAAACTTTAGCCACCCACCCCTCTGAAAGACCCTGACTACACATCTCTTTTTTCAGTAACCTATCTATTTCTGGAAGGCACGTGGCGGGGAGAGGAAGAGGAGAGAGCAACAATGAGTGAGGTGCTGCCACCGGCCTCACCACTAGCCTCACAAGTGCAAAGACTTAAATTCAATCCCCAGAACCAAAAGGTGGGGCGTGGCTCAGTGTGAAGGTCATGGGTTTAATCTCTAGTACTGAAATAAATGAATAAATAAATAAATCTTTTTTTTTTAAAGATGAGTGAGGGGGCTTGAGAACTAGCATGCACTCATGTGACATTTCCTCTACTGTCTTCCCACGTAAAATCACTTCCCAAGGACATTTCTTCACAACTGAGTAAAATCCCCAAATAAGAGGGTGGCGGTGCCCCAAACTCCCTATAGGTGGCGTAAGGGACTGAGCATGAACTGACAATTCCAGAAAAACAGAAAAATATGGAAAGCCTTTTGTGCTCCTGGATTCCAGGGAAAATACCTTCCCTGCAGGTGGCCTCTAACACTCTACTGAAGGTCAAACCCGGTAAGGCTGCCTCTGTCTCATCACAGGGGAGAGAACCCTTGCAGAACCACTTCTATAAACTAGATTCTCTTTACAGTCTTTAATAACACATTAGAATTAGCCAAGTTTGTGTTCTAGTCCCTCTAGGTTGGTGGTAACACACGGTAACCTCTAGATTGGAACTGGCCTGCAGACATGGTTTTTGGACCTATACAATGAGTAAAACATATTTTCTTACATTACTTGACCAGAGGACATTTCTCACAAATATCTGATTTTTCAATTTCTCTTAAAACATTTAAGGATCTGTCAGGAGGGGACTGTTGGGCAACGTCATGAGACCTCCCAAGAAACAAAACAAAACATATTGTCCACACATACAGCCTTCTATCTAATGACAGAAAGGAGCCATAGTTTCTGCCTTTGGATGGTTTATGAACTAGCACAAAACAACACAGTGGACTGGCTGATGGGGGCTGACCGCTACAGCGTACTTCAGCATCCTGCAAAGTGAAGAGGAGCTGGGATCCCGCTTATCGGGTAAAGATTTTCTTCTAAAGAAAGAGGGCTTATGTTTTCTTCTGGCGTTCTCAAATGTTAAAAGAAGTGCTGCAATTTCCAGACCACCACCCAAAAATCTGACAGGGTGCACAAAATTCTCACCTTGGCAGCCCCAATCTGCTCCTTTCGAAACTTCTCCAAAGGAGTGATGAGTACCTCGCTGGCATTCTCAATCTGGTGAAGAAAATCAGAAAAGAATCCAAGATAGTAAACAAGAGCAGGGTGAGTACAGCAGCTCCATCACACACAACCAGCCGCCACCAAGTCCTGAAATAAAATTTGAGTAAGCAATAATGTTCATGTGTCGTTATTTGCAATACCAATCAGTACATCAAAACAAGCCATCTCTCTAGCCGCTGATTCAAAACATGATATCCCTCCTGTGTGTGATTAGTATCAATTCTTTAAGAGGAAAAATGTGGACATCTGAAAGTGTTAGCAACCATATGAAGGCAGAGGTTTCAGAGTAGGATCTAAATTTCAAGATTCCAGCTACATCGTATAAAGAATCATTCTTTGAAGATATAGGTGAAATCAACCAACAGGGAGTCTAGACTGAAAATGAAAACACAACATCTTCGAAATCCGCTGACACAAAAGTCCCTCAAGCCTGATGTTTGGCTGTTCCCACAGTACAGGACGGGGGCCAGAACATCTGTTTCTCCTGACCACTGCTTACTTCTTAATGCCATCTCACTGGGTTCATCACACCAGGTCCTGCACTTCTATCTACTGTCACTTCAATGAATCTCAAACTTGTCCCTCCTAAGGCCCTTGCCTCTGCCATTCCCTCAGAGGCTCTGCTCACAAACCTGTGCACGAATGACTCCTTATCATAATTAAGGATTTAGCTCACAGGTCACCACTCTAGGGAGGCCTGCCCTGACCACCAATATAATCCCAAGAGGCTGCCGACCATCCCACGAAGTGTCTTCTGCAGAACACATACGCCAGATGAAGTTTTCTGGTTCACCTCACTTACACACACACATATATACACACTACCCATATATATATATACATATATATACATACACATGCCCTAAGCATACACACAGACACATACATACATACAATCTTGTAAAGATTTGTCCACAACTATCCACAATGCATAGAAAAGCAGTGAAACAAAGGACCGCTCAAACGCTTTTGAATGAATGAATAATCATGATTTCTGGACTGACTACAAAACATTTAACCTCTCTGGGCTCTAATTTCCTCATCTGCAAAATGAGTGGGCGAAACTGTTCCCAGCTCTAAGATTCTATGGTCTCTTCCAAGGCAGGATATTTTACAATCTTTCCTTTTAAGTCACTCAATGCTCACTCTTTGACCAACTAATTATTTCAGGAATCTCAATGCAACAAGGTATTATTTTTCTAAATCATATGCATATCCTTCACAATGAAACCAACAGAGTCAATGCCAGAAGCCTGAGATGGACACAGTAAAGAAGGACTGGACAATGCAAGGGATAGAAAAAGACAGGCCTCTAAACTGATTCCTATTTGCCTTTCTCTCAATTTTGAATGCACCTTTTCCTGAAAAGTGCATTTTGACACTGAAGTGTTGTAATATTAATTTGTTCTAATTTTTTTATGATTTGGTGCTGCTTAATTGGCTCATTAAAGGCTTTTCCACAAATCCACTGAAATTCTCTGAAGCTCACAAAGCTGTGCTAAGCAGTTAGGTCAGTGATTCTCAACCTTCGCTGTACAGTAGAATCACTGGGGAGCTTTCACAAACCCCAACGCTGAGAGCACACACCAACACCTCATACCAAATGACAATCATTAGCATTAGTACCATATATCGGCATTTTAAAAGTCCCTCAAGACATTCCATTGGTCATCTGGAACTGAGAATCCAACCCTAACTAGGAGCTCAGTATGTGAAACATTTCACATGGGAAGCAAAATACCCAAGTCTTTACCACAATCCTACTACAACCTGCTTTTACATCTGTCAAATGAGTGGCTACAGACACTGAGGAACAAGGACCCTCTGGGTTGAAAATTCTGAGTCTTTAAGTTCCATTCAGTTTCGAGAACTGTGCTTGAAAATGGGGGCTCAGAAGCCCACACGCCCTCAGCCCCTCGGCCCTTGAGGAACTTATATTTCCTACGGGCCCAGACATGTACAGTGCCTATCGGGACAATGTGAAAAATGCAGAATCAGAGGCACAGACTAGATGTTCACGAAGCACAAGGATGGCTGAGTGTCCCAGGAAGTCAGGGAAGACTCTCCAAAAAAGGTGCTCCGGCTTTGATGAGCTGAGCTGAACTGATGATAAAGCTATCACAGGACAAGGGGTGAGAAGGGGCTTGTGATGGCCACATACTTAGATGCAGACAGCAGAAACTCAACTCACTGACATTAATAATAAAATTGCAGAGGCGAGCTGAAAAGCATAATCCAGCCATTGTTCCCTTACCACAAGCCACAGCAGTCTGCAGGGGATTCATGGTGATTTGCTCACCACGCATCCCCCACCCCCAAATACTGACTCAGCCAAGAAATCAGACTCAAAAGAATCACTGCCCTTTCTCAGGCACTAGCACATACACACACACACACACACACACACACACACACACACACGTTTTCCTCTCCCTCCACCCACCACCACTACACTTCTGACTGATTCCCCTTCAAGCACCAGCAGTGAGCTATCAGGAAAAACAGGTATCTCTCTGCAGCATACTTGAGGAAAGGCGTAGGCGGCTTCTGCTCTGTTTGGAGCTTTAAAGAAATGCCCATAGTTTTTGGTATAATGCTGACTTAGGCTTGAATCCAGACCATACTACTTATTAGCGGTACGATCCTGGACAAGTTACTTAACCCTGGTAAGCCTCAATCTCTTTCTCTGAATAAAACTGGGATAATATAAATACTATTCAACAGAGGCATCATGAGAGTTAAACGGAATATTCATGTAAAGTACCTGACTACATAATGTCTTGGTAAACAGGACTCACACTCTCAGCTATAGCTACGGGAAAAGAAGAAAAATGCTCGAATTTTGGCCTCTTCCCTAAGTCTCTGGAGCTCCAATGCCTGGAGACAAGCTCTCATACAGACAATTCCTGCTATCTAGAGGTTGTTGGGGAAGATGCCAAGGAATCTTCTGTGAGTGTGAGACCCTGTACCCATTAACACTGAACTCCGTCAGAATAAATGCTACTTCACAAGGATCTCTTACAAAATTGGAGATCAACATCTGATTCTTGAATTTGTACAGCATCTCTTCTTGAAGGTCTTTGAGTTACCTTCACTTACTAAGTATGATTTACCAGGTGCTGGCTGCATGGCAGGTTCTGTCAGGTGCTTCGGAGTTAAAAGTGAAGGGCTAAGCCAGGTGTGGTGGCACATTCCTGTAATCCCAGCACTTGAGAGGCTGAGGCAGGAGGATCACTGTGAGTTCGAGACCAGCCTGTGCTACATGGTGAGTTCCAGGTCAGTCTCAACTACATAGGGAGACCCTGTCTCAAAAAAACAAAATAAATAAATAAATAAGTGAAGGGCTGCGCCCAGCACTGTGAGGCTCTTGGACAGGTTTAATAAGGCATGAGGAAGAGGGTTCACAGTAGGATACCTTCTTTTCCATTCTGCTGCTAAAGAATAGCAGGCTCACAAAAGTTAATCATTCAAGAGATCCACCCTTAAGTCCTATACCTTATATAAGTATAGGTATAGGTATAGGTATAGGTATAGGTATAGGTATAGGCATAGGCATAAGCATAGGCCTTCCAAGAAATCTCTGGGAGAACAGAGATACTGTTCTGAAGTTATACATCAGTTATCTAGTAACACTTACAAAAGGCTTTAAACTGCAAAGACATGGCTTGCTCTAAGCTCAAAGCACTCCAGTGGCAGAACTCAAACTCGGTCTCCTGAAAATAAATCTGTCCTCCCTCCATGTGCACCTACCACGGTCTGGACCAAGACATACTCACCATCCGTATCCGTTCATCTTCAAGATTCCTGAGGACAGTGGCAAACTCCTGTAAAGACCTTGCTGGAAGAGAGAAAGGGCCATGAGGCTAAAGGAGAATAACAGGTATTTAAGAACCTTCCCAGTGTCACTACTAAAGCTATGGATTTAAATTCCTTTCCATGCAGATGCCCACAGTCAATTACTTCCTCAAGTTACCCTTACCTTTTAATCACTAACCATTAAGGAGAGATGACCCAGAAATACAGGTTAATTGCATGTGAGACTCTAGCTAGGGAAGGATTTCTTCACGGAAAAGTCCTGACTGTCCCTGAGAGCATCAGGACTGGTGAGATCCTGGCAGACTCCCAGTCTCCAGACTAGAAGGGGCAGAGTTCGGCTTAGGAGTTAAAGGATTTCCTGCCCAGAATTCAACCTCCTCAACCTTTTGTCATGAGGCTGCGTCAGAATTCAACCTTTTCTTTGGCATCAGAACTAAACAAATAGCGCTGCTGGCATCAGAAGGCACATCTCTGGCGTCTTCTTGGGTTCCTCCTCCCTGAGTCCCGAAGCCCCTCAGTAACAGAACACAGCCTCATAGTCAAATGTGGACGGTCACCTTTGCCAGAATTACTCACAAAGGCAGCAAGCATTGAGTGCTGGCCCTAAGAATACTCAGGACACTTGTGTAATACTGAGAGAAGCACCCATCTAGTCACAAGTTACATCAAGTATGTGTCTTCACTGTTCTCAGCTGCCTCCCAGATGTCTTTACTCATCCCCAGCTCTTGACACCCTCCATGGCACGAAGGATTCCACAAGTACTTAATGAATTACTCAATTCACTAAAACTTTCTCAATTCTTGGGGGTGGGTGTGGAGAAAATGAATCCAGAGCCTCACACAGGCTAATAAGTATGTGCTCTACTACAAAGCTCAGCCCTAACTTCTCAATTCTTCCTCCCTTCACAGACTCAACGCAAATGTCCAATGTAAGAACGAAGCACAATAACAAGACTCTGGCCAAGAATGGTTACTGACCTTGCCAACCCTCTGCACTCAGGGCTCCCTTCAGAAGAAGGCAGGTGACGGGAAAGAATGAAGCAGCACAGTTGGATGATAAGCAGGAGCCCAGCTCAGCTTCTCGGTAAGGAGACAGAGAGGTGGGGACTGCAGGGACAAGACACTGAGCTCCTCTCCCCATCTAGAGCCACTGGCAGAGCTACAAAGCTCCAGCCAACTGTCCCCACACCAGAACACAGGGCCAATAGATTGCATTCTCCAACTTCTCAAAGAAGCTGGAAAACTGGAAATATACATAAATTCTACTTAAATAGTAATTCAATTTAAATAATTAAAGTCAAGCAAAGCATTCTGACCTCAGTCCATGAGCTATATCACTTTGCAACCTCCTCTGAACTATTCCTCTACATGCATTTACTTTTGCCCCAAGTACTTAGATCTATGCTTGGGAAGAAAAATGTCACAAATCAGCCAGAAGGAAAACCCTAAAGGAAGTTAGATAGGAGACTCCACCGTAGAACCTCCAGTTCTACCCTGCATGTTGGAAGGTGAGTGAGGCAATCCCAGAACTAGAGGAGTAGGGTAGTTCAGAATAGCCCAGGCCCAATGCTTATATCTCTGGCCCTCCTCAACCACTGTAGGCTTCCATCTTCACCAACCTTACAGGCCTTCTATCCCAAGAAAAAGGCCTTGCTAGGACAGTGAAAGCTGCAGCAAACTGTGCATGTTTTTACCATCTCCATGGTTACGACTTACCTATACACATCTCGTCATCCGTCTCCGCATCTCCAATGCACTGAAATTTAAATTCGTTTAAGGAATCTGCAAACTTGCGCTTTGCTGAAGACAAATCTAGCAAGAAAAAAGAAAAGGAGTTACTGAGATTCAACTGGCTTTCCTAGTTGCTGCCCTTTTTTTAGTGCTTCTATGAATACAGCAGTGAGATTTGTTCTAGAGACCATTATAAACAGATTCATTCCTGAGATCATTTCAAAAACACAAATGAAGGTAAACTCAAAATAGTAAATGTTCATTTATAACCTGAAACATTGATTTGCTCTAGCAGTTAATATTTTTTATTTCCTTGAACAATTCTAATCCTATGTCTACTTCCTCAAGCCCTACAGTGAGTTCTGACACATGGGAATCCACTCGCCTCAGGAGGTCAGGGAGGAGGAAGCTGGACCAAAGCCAAGAACCGTCTCCACAGCCTGCATGTCCACCTTCCAGACTTTCTATGTGGTCGGTGCAGTGCCCCCACACTCATCTCAACAGTAACTTTCCCTCAGTCAAACTCCCAACACAGAGTGACTTTAGGGAGGGAGCCGGGGAAAGCTGAAAGGAAGGGCTTAGAGCTGCCTGGCCCCTGCAACGCAGGAGCACCCAGACTTCCTCTTCCAACGCAGACACCCTCTCTTCCTTCCACCTGAGCCATTTCCCTGGGTGACCACCTCTATCCCCGCCAGGAAATGTTTTGTACTGAGGTAAAAACACACCCCACACGTGGTATCTATAACAAAAACTCTCAGGGGCCTTTGTCAAATTTTTAAAATAAGCTTGCACTTAAGACAGTAATAAAAGCCAATGATCCTTCCAGAGCCCTCAGCTTCTGTGAAGGGTACAAAACCACCAAGGTACCTTTAAGTGACCTGACAGACAAGGTTGCTCAGTACAAATGTGCTTAACTTAATTCTGTGTGCAGCCTTCCTGCAGATTAGGCTAATAATTCAAATTACCCTTATACGTGCTTCCCTCATTGCAGGGGAAATGGCATTATGTTCAAATTCCCAGAGGGAAGTAGAAGGCAGAACTAGGAACGAGGCCTGGCTATAATAAGATATGGGCAGGGGGGTGATGCGTGTCCTGGCTTCACAGATCAACATAACCTTCTAAATAAAAGCATCCGTGATCCTCAGCACTTTCTTAGCTCCCATTTTGTCCCTTGAGGTCGGGGCCATGTTTTTCAAACTTTTTTTTTTTTTTTTTGGTACAGTTGGGGGCGGGGCCATGTTTTTCAAACTTTTTTTTTTTTTTTTTTGGTACAGGGGGAGGGGGATTGAACTCGGGTCCTTGAGCTTGTGAGGCAGGCAGCAGAACCACTGAGCTAAATCCCCAGACCAATGTTTTTCATTTTTTATTCTGTTTGGTTTGTTGTCTCTCTCTGTTTGGTGGTGCATCCTGCTCAGCTTGTGCTGAATGAAGGTTGAGGGCACCATATATGAATCTAATGCCCCATGCTCATTCCAAGCAATGGCTGCCAGTGGAAAAGCCAGGCTTAGGTTACTGCATGGATCCTGGACCACCATCCCAGTGATTCTCATGACGTAAGACCTGAGGCAGCTACGGCTCATGCAACGCACTTAGCCCCACACTGCAAGGAGATGACACGCAGTGTGGAAAAGGAGAACATACGAGCCAGCCTCCCGTCCCTCCTGGTTCAGTCACTTCCGTGAAATGGTCCTTGACAAAAAGTTCAAAGATGCTGGGAGGAAAATCAGGCTTCTGTAAAAACTAGCCCAGGCTAAGAATATCCCTCAAACCACTAATCACTCCCTGGCAAGTCAAGAATGAAGCAGATGTATCTGACAGCGAGAAGACTATGGGACGGAGGCCGCTGGTAAGCAAGAGACAACGAAAAAGGAGAGTGGTATTTCAGAGCAGAAGAGAAAACCCTCGAAGAGCCCCCAAATGCACAAGCATTCGACAGGGGTGCGGTTGTAAACATTTTTATTTTAATCCAGACACTCCCTCAGTCAGAACTTGAAAAAGACCTGAGCACAGAGTAAGAACAGGTTTGTTTCTCTACACAACTGACAATCCTCCTGTGCCTCCCCAATACAGCAAGAAAGATTTGGACTGGACAATCATCTCAACAAAGTAAGAGGCAGCTGGGAGAGGGGCATGAAATGTAAACCAGGCTTGGGAAAACTCCCAGCAGGCACCTGAAAAGCTATGCTGCTGGGGTAGCTTCCAGGGAGAACCAAGGAGTGGCTAATAATGACAACAGGGCCTTTGTGGGACCTTTCACACGAGGACCCAGTTAACTAGCACAGGCCTGGTAGCTTATGACCAGAAGGAAATCTGATTTCACTGTTCGGCAACACAGAGCACACCCTGCCACAGCACAAACCTGAGAAGCAAGGCAGGTCACTTGAAGATGAAAAGGAGGCGTATCCCTTAATAGGAAATTAGGTAAGGCATACCCGTACAGAGTCAACACGGGTGCTGGGCCAGTGAAAAGAGCTGGGGACAATGAGAATCCCTATTATTGGAACGTAAGAACTTAGCTTGCACCTAGCAGAGAAAATTTTCAGGGAAGTTATACTAGACACCTCTTGTTTTGCCTGTTCAGAATCCATGCCCCAGACTGAAGAATGGCATCTCAAGCTTCTTTTGAGAACTTCCTTTCTCCAATGAGAAAATTGCTATCAATGAGGTGCTAGGTATAGGCCGATCAATCTCAAGCCTCCCTCATTCCTGGGTTCAAGTTCCAGCTCCAGCATTTCTCAGCTATGTAAGTAACCCCGGGTTAGTCCCAAAGTCTTGGCGATGGCGTCTGATGGATGCTGTATACCTGCAGGGTCAGAGGAGAGACCCACTGTACAAGCACGCTGCACACCACAAGGTTCGGGTCTAACTAAGCAAGGCCATGCTCTTCTTTCCTAACATATGCCCCCCTTTTGGGTACTGGAGATAGAACTCAGGTCCTTGCACTTGCTAGGCAGGGAGTGGAACCACTGAGTTAAATCCCCAGCTCTTTCCTAACATATGCATCATTCCAAGAAACATCACCCAGGGAAGATAAGGACAGCTACCCCTATGTGGAGCTCAGAGGAGTTGAAGACAGAAAGAAGAACACAAAGCCACTAACAAGTCACCTGGGGCTCCATCAGAGCTGTCTGAACTCAGATCTGTGTGGCCTGTGGGACACAGGCTGCTTCACCCCATTAAGACAACCCCTGCGTTGCTCAGGACAATGGGAGAGCCATCAAAATTAGAAAACTAAACAAATCGTTGATTTTTTGCTTGTGTTTACCCAAAAGGTTTGAGGGTATCTCGTGCAAAATATCACCCCAGATATGCAGTTCCCCAAAAATTTATTTCTGGAGCTTTTACACCAAGGCACATAAGACTCTAGCATGCAGATTCCAGTAAGTGGGGGACTGGTACTAGGGCTGGGTGCATGCCAGGTATCACAGCCCCTGCTCATACAACCTCACCGTTTTCATGTTCAGACAGCGCAAGACACGCAAGGAGCCAAGGCTCTATCAATAACGTTTACTTTGCAGAACATCTGTTGCTAGAAAAGCTAAATGCTGGCCAGAGCCAAGCAAAGTGGCCACTGCCCACATCCAGGGTAGAAAAGAATCTGCCTCTGAATGAGGTGACCAGCAGGGCAAGAATATGGAAGCAGAGAGGAGTGTGGAAGTAGAGAGACTACCCCAAAACCACCTACTAAAACCATCTAATAAATAGGACACACATGTGTAAATACTGAATCGTTTCTCTGGTGTGAAAAACTAAGAGTGTAACTAAGGATCAAAATGTATAGATGATAACAGGAAATAGGAAGAAAATATGCCTAAAAGAGTAAGGGAAGTGGGAGGGGTAGGGGAAAGGAAAGAAGGGAAAAGAAAAAATATGAGAAAAGGAAAACCATGGAAACAAAGTCTTTGTAAAGAGGGAAGGGTGGAGGGGGTGAAGGGAAGGCAGAGGAATGGGGAAAAAATAACCAAGATACATCCTGTAAAGGTACAAGATCCTAATGATGAATGTAACTGTACTGTGTACCTAAAATGTACCAATAAACTTAATGAAAAAAGAATCATCTACTCACTCAGGGGCCAGAGGAAACTGCCTTCCCATCCTGGAGATATCATGCTCTTCCTCAGCAAACACTAATCCACAGAATCGACCTTAATTTTATACAAGTTTTACCCATAACATAAAAAGCCAAGCCATTTCCTTTTTCTCCTTGGGTAAAACCTAGCACATTTGTGCACACATATACATCCACACAATAAAGGATTCAAGATAACCTTAGAATTACCTTTTCAGTGGATCTATTCCCTGTCTGTGACCTTCAAAAGTACTCAAACTGCATATACCTACCCTTTAAAATTTTTGCTACTCAGTCACATCTTTCTATCTGGACTTAGTGATTATAGCTAATAAAAACCAACTGCTATGGTAAAGCTTGCAATAGGACTGGCTCCCAGCTATGTACAAAGCATAAGAAAACCAAAGTCCCCAGCCAGACCAATCTAGCTCTTCTCTGAGCAACAATTACACTTACTCTCTGTGCCTTGTCCCCTCGGATTTGGAATGGTTCTAGAACCACCCATGAGCAGCTTTGTATCGTAACACCCAGAGAGCGTCTAGGACAGGGCTGGCCAGTGACCCTCAAAACATGCTGCACTGACCTGACTGGGCAAAGCAACACCAGCTGTCTTATAAGATGCTGTGTGTGAGTCACCAGAGAGGATCCAGGACTGAGAACTGAGAAATAAACACAATCCTGGAAAGACTACAGTTTACTCTGCATCCCCAATCCCTGGTAAAGCCGTATATACTCAAAGCCAAACCCTCACCCCAGCAACCCTCTTCTCCAAAGAGCCTCCGTGGGTGATGAAGGGCACCACCATCTGTTTGGCCACACAACTGGACACCAGTGCATCATTCTTGACAGGTCAGTCTGCTCCGCACACAATGCTCGTGCCCAGGACTGTCCTTTCTGCTTCCTAAGCATCTCTCAATGCTACCCACTCCTCCTCATGTGCCTACAGATAACGGACCCGCCTCCCCTAATGCTGCCTGTGGGGGACAATTCCCACAGAGCTGGAGGGGAGGCC